TGTGTGTGTGTGTGTGTGTGTGTGTGTGTGTGTGTGTGTGTGTGTGTGTGTGTGTATTCATGTTTTGATATATAATGATCAGTCTGTGTGAGGCAGAGTAAGTTCACATGCTGACGTATGCAGACATCCATGTTGTAGCAACTAGTTTGAACACACTGATCACAGTTCAGCTCTGACACAGTCATACTTTCTTTAAAATGTTTTTATTTAATTATTTGTTTAGAAAATAGCATTTTTACTGCAAAGCAGTCTGTTTCTTTGTTTCCAGTCTATAAATCCAGTCACACTTTCTACCTTCACCTGTGCAGTAAAGACTGAGAGCAAAGATGAAACCAACCATCCAATCAATGAGCAGCATCAACACCTGAACTTTATTCAGACTTTGTTATAAATGAGTGCAGATAAATGAAATTATGTAAATATCCATTATGGATCTGGTACTGTCACAATTCAAAGCTTCCTAGATAGGTCAGCCAATGACGATGCAGCCTTTTGTTGGGTCTGAGACAAATAATTGAAACATGTTGCTGGACACAAAATTCAAAAAGAACAGATATCTGTAGAAAAAAGACATTAAGAACACCACCATCAGAAGCAAACATTAAACCTTTGAGAAACTTTTGTTTCTCAAGAATACCCCAATTTTTCCAGTTATTTGTTGCATTTCAAGTTGTTCAAGTCCAATGACTAACTTGAAATGGTACAAAGGTAAGTGTTGAAATACCAGAGGTTTAAAAAAAAAGGTAAGGTAAGGTCAAAACTGAAACATAATGTACATTTCAGAATTATACAAAAAGGCCTTTTGAGACACAACAACATGGGTTAACAATTGAAAGCTGTTCTATAACACAGGAGGTTGATCAAGCCTTGAAAGGTGCTGCTAATTCCTACAGGTGTTCCAACTTTTCTGCATCATATACAACCTCCTCTGTCTGTATAAAAGCAGTGTTGGAACCCACTGTGGTACCATACCCTCGTGAGCAACAGCTGAACAGTATTGGACTGTAGAAAGTAGCAATTAACAATCAAAGACAGACAGACCATCATAACACTTAAAAATAACACCTACAGAGATATTGAAAATAAAGTAAAGGTGTCAGTGAGTACAGTTTCCTTCACCATCAGAGGGCACTCAGAAACTGGGACAAACTCTGGCAGGAAGAGGTCTGGCAGAGCCAAAGCCACAACTGAATCAGATGACAATTTTCGAAAGTTAACAGCTTGCATAAAAGGTGGCTGACAGGACAACAGCTTCAAGCACAGTTTAATATTGGTCGTAATTAGCAAGTCTCAGTTTCAACTGTGAAGAGAAGATTTTCGAGCTGTAGGTTTGACAGGACAAGTGGCAGCAAGAAAGCCATTGCTAAGACATTAGAATATGACACACCACCATTGGACGACTGGAATAAGGTATTATGGACTTAGAAATCAAAATTTGAAATTTTCGGTTCATCACGGAGGATCTTTGTGGGCCGTCAAGTAGGCGAAAGGATGGTTCCACAGTGTGTGACATCAGCTGTCAAACATGAAGAAGGAAGTGTCACAGTATGACAGAGGTCTGTCATTAATGCACCAGAGAAATGGACAGTGGTTCCTCAGAGTGACCCAGGGAATGGTTACTTTGTCCCATTTAGATGAAAATTTTCTTAAATTATCTTAAATTCTAAAGGAAGATCTGAACAATACTTTTGTCCTCATCACTTTCCAAATCAATGCTGCACTCCTTCAGAGAGCACCTCAAAGTCTCCTGAGCTTAGAAACCAAATTAATAGTACAATCTCAATTTAATAATGCTGTCTTCTTCCCTTTTATTTTTCACAACATACAAACAGGTGTTTATAAGTTTCTGCATGAATTTGCTGTTTATTTATTTCCTTATTTTGACACTAAGTCTTCAGCAGCTGACTCACTCTTACCAGTAGATGGCACAATCTCCTCATTCTTATTTTCCATTAAGTGACTGAAAACAGCACTGATGTCGATTATTTAACTCTTAGTTTTTCCTTAGTTTTTTATTTTCCAAAAAGTAAAACCATCAGAAATGTTTCTTTCTCTAGTTTGATTTCATTTTTTTCTGTTTATTTTTCTACAGTCAATACGACAGGAGAGATATAAAAATATTAACAAAGAGGTTGATCCTCATCATGCCAACTGCTTCAAATACTTATTATTCAGAATCTGATCTGATCCTAACTATTTGTTCATTAGTGTGTCACTTTAATGTTTGAGCAGATATCATTTCTTTATATAGTTTTTTTTTTCACCTACTTCAGCAAGTTTCAGTGGTGGTTATTTGGTTATCAAATATCCATTGTTTTCTTACTTACTGTCATACACACAGTCAGGCTGATGTTTCTCTCACATGTCACGCTGGACTGAATCCAGAAGGTATCTTGGTACAGTCCAGAGTCCGAACTGTCAGGTTGTTGAGAGCAAATGAAGTAGAATCATAAAATGTCTCAAGAACTAGGGTTAGGGTTCAGACTTCTTAAAAATTAAAATTAAAAAGTGTTCTTAAGCAATAGTTATCTTTGGACATTCCACCTTTTTTCACTCATATTTAGTCTAGTCCCTGTAATTGACCATTTTTAGAAAAATGTTTTTTGTTTGTTTTCTGGTTTAACCACTGACCTTTTAATCATTCAAACATAAATATACAACAGAAATTCAGCAAAGACCTAAGATATACCTCTGGATTTTCAGTTGATCCTTGTACTGTTCACTTAAAATAATCACAGATGGTCCCAGTGGAAGAGTGGCTGTCAAGAAGCCACTGCTAAGGAAGGGAAATGGGGAGAAAAATACGGGGTATGCCAAATGACATAGGAATTACATAGGTGTCAAAATCAACAGGTGGCAACAGGTCTGATGGAGTGATGAAAACACATAAATCACTATCAGTATGTGTGGAAGTCAAGAGAGAGGATCAACAGTGAATGTCTACAGCCATCTGTAAAACACGGTGGAGCAGAATGTCATTCACAAATCCTGGAGAACTATTCCTGAAGACTACTTTAAAAAAATTACAAGAAACCTGCCTAAGAAATTTCAGGCTGTGTTGAAGAATAAAGGTGGTCATACCAGGGCTCATCAGAGTTGTACAAACTGTTATTGACATATATTTTGCATTTCCATGAATGTGCGCACATTTCTATTAATTACTGCGCCTACTTCCCATTTTCAAAATATAATGAAATGAACAGTTACCCAAGCCCTTCAACATTTTTTCATCCTTTATCAAATAGATGCGCAGTGAAGAGTGACATGAAAGTGGAGGAGAGACCGAGAGGAAGGCATGCAGCAAAGGGCCGTGGGTTAGACTTGAACCCAGACCGTGTGCGCTCAGCCATATGGCACTCCGATGGCATACAAACAGAATACCATCACACAGGAAACAGAACTATTACAATAAAATATATGTGTGTATCTCACACTGAGATACAGAACTGGGAATAAACATGGAGAAAGAACTAAACCTACACTAGAGACATAACACACAAACCATGGAAGGCACAGGAACAAAACCTAAGAACTAGAAATCACAAAATACTAAATAACTTAGGTCATGTCCACACTAATACATTTTCGTTTGAAGACTCTTTTTCTCTCTGTTTTGGCCTTCCGTCCACACTGAGATGGCGTTTTTGGCCAAGGAAAACAGAGCTTTTTGAAACCTTTCTCCAAAGCGGATACATTTGAAAACGCTGTCGCAGTGTGGACAGCGTAACCACTGGCTTTCGGAAACAATGACGCATTTTAGTCATGTGATGCAGTCATGTGACTAATTAAACTAAGATAGCAGAGGGCATTATACAGTAGTTGCTTTTCTTGCTCTCAATTTTGACAGCCCTATTAAAGATTAATATCAGTTTGTACATGCTTCAGATAGCTTTTCTTCAAATTCTGTAATTCTCAATCAGTTTTGCAACTTTGTACTTTTGTGTTACTCACAACAACAACTCCATGTCATTGTCAGTCCATTTAAAAAACCCGGTGCTTTTCCTCAAAAGACTAAACTATGAAAAACATTAAATCAAAGAAGATTAAATATTAATAAATAATCAAAACATAAGCACTCGGTAACCAGACCCAGGACCTTGACATCCGGCAGCTGTTTTGCTGTGGCTGCATTAGAGATATGCATACAATAAAAATAAGCTCTAAGCTAAAATTCAAATAGAAACAGTAAAATATGATAGTGATCAAAAAAGTCATGAAAAAAGGAATGATATCAAACATCAGCTCAAACTGAGCAATGTATTCAAAATACAGAAGGTTGTTTAAAAGGTGCTTTTGGAGGTAATTGTCATTTGTGGACATCAACACATCTGTCTTTGTTTTTGATGCAGCATTTTATAAAATTCAGATCTGAAATCATAACAATGAAACAGCTTAAAAAAATAGCATCAAAACAAATCTAATGTATATTACCAAAATCCACCAGATTCTACTCCAGGGCCCTTTGTGATAGATTTCATGTTTCATTCAAACTAAAGTGAAATACAGCATATGCAGTGCTATTCAGGCACATTAAAATATTCCTAAGAATGGATCCTGGAATAATTGTAGCTTCCATCTTTAAAGGAGTGAAGAGGAAGAAGTTTACAAGGAATCATTTAGAACAGTTTAAAACATCAACTCATTGAATCCATTAACCTTAAAATGCATAGAGTATTTCTCTAACAGGAGGACACTCTTTATACTCAACTCAGCACAGACACACTGAGGCACCATGAAAAGACAATAAAAATCCAGGATAAACAGGTTCAGTGAATGTGGTGTTGAAGGTGTGGAGGCGGATCAGAGTGCCAGACGAGACTCTGTAGAAGGACAAAGTGCCAGCAGGACAGTCCACATACACTGCTACTCTGTTAGAGACAGAGGAGGAGTAGGAAGAGGAGGGGGGGATGGTTGTGGATCTGCAATTGTGACAGACAAACTGAGGACCACCATCAGTGCAGTGCAGACTCCAGGAATGATCATTGAGTCCAAACCAACAGTCATCATTGTTTCCTTTCCTTCCGATTCTTCTGTAACTCACTGATATAGAAATGTTTCCCTTCCACTCGACCTCCCAGTAACAGCGACCAGTCAGTTCATTACTACATAGCAGTTGAGGCCAAACATTAAATCTGTCTGGATGATCAGGATATGACTGAACCTCCATAATATTATGTGTCACCTTCCTGTTGTTGTCAGACAGTTTGAGGTTTCTATTTACTGTGTTTGTGTCGATTGTGAGTTGACAGGAATCTGATGGAGAGAACAAACACAATCCAACTGCAGTTATGGATCCATCATCTGTTCATTGATTAACACTTTGATGATGACTACTGACATCGGAGATGTAAATCAGTGATGTGACAGTTTGAAGATGTCAGTGTTGTGGTGTGGTGTGGTGAGAGAGAAGAGAGGACCCAACTGCAGGACTTGCAGGCAGATTGAGGATGTGGATGGTGTTTATTGCAAGGACTGGATGGACAGAACATAAACTGACTGAAACTGAATGACTGGTGGACTGAACTGAACCAGAAAACACACATGCAGATTAGAGGACAAGACAAGTAACTGAGGAAAACTGATGACTTAAATATACTGGATAATGAGTTAAAAATAAATGAGTTTCGGTGGGCGGCTGCGTGACCAGTTGCTAAGATGATTTAGTTTGGGTGGATGACCGCATGAATCCGTTCGAGTGGGCAACTGTGTGGCCAGTGCCATAGACAAATTAGTTCAGGTGGGTGGTTGTGTGGCCAGCGGCAGCACCCGCGATGCTCCACTGTGGACCAGCAGAGGTGATGGGACACCTCTAACAGGTGGGAAGGTTGCTGGTGGCGTGATTTGGCAAAGCTCTCTAGTGGAGAAAAAGCAGGACCCACAGGTGGGAAACCTCTGGTGGAGACTTGGCACCGGAACAGGTGTTGGAATTGGCCAGACCCTAGCCGTCCCAACTCGAGAAACAAGTATGGATGCAGGGATGGGTTGAGTGGCTTCCCTCACCTTAGGTGCAGGGACAGGTGCAGGAGCTGGCTGGACACCAGTCACCCAAGCCCGGGGAACAGGTATGGGTGCTGGAGTGGACTGGGTCTCAGCTGTCCTTGCCCTGGGAGCAGGCATGGGAATGGGTGACGGCTGGACGTCAGTTGCCCCTACCCGAGGAACTGGCAAGGGTGCTGGGAAATGCTGAGCGCTATCTGCCCGCGGAGTGGTACAGGGACTGGCTGGGCCCTAACGGCACTGTGAACAGGAGCAGGCTGAGAGACAGGTCTTGGGACTGGGAGACAGGTCTTGGCATGGAGACAGGATGAGAGAAGTGATCAGATCTGGACTTAAGAATGTCCTTTGTGAAGCCTAAAAGGGAAAAACAGTTTTTATGGGTGCAGGGTGGTAATTACATTTTTTTTGACAATCCACCATAGGTTGACAATAACCAATCACTGGCTTTTTTAGTAGAAGAAAGGGTATTTGGTCTATGGTGAGGAGGAGTCTTTGGCTCATGGTGAAAATGAAGAAAAATGTCTGACTCACTCACCACCAGATATTGCTGCTTGCGAGAGCAGCGGCAGCAGCGGGAGCTTTGCCTCCTCTTGACAGAAACAACAGACCTGCTGAATGATGTAACCTCCATCAGGATGAGATGGGAGGTGGAGCCGCTTTGCCACGACAAGGTGGGAGTGCTAGTGAATGAGGCAGTAGGTGGACGCATGAGGACCGAGCAGCTGGAGATCAGCGGCTGGCGCCTATTTCCCATGGCTAAGGCTCGCGTGCAGGTGAGGCAGCAGGTGGAGGACTGCAGTGCCTTCAAGGACTCTCCAGAGCCAGATGAATTCCCTCAAAGACTGCTCATTTTGGAGCATAAGCCACAGATTAACCCCCAGCTCTCTTTCCAGAAAGAAGAATGCTGCCTGCTGCCATTGGTATAATTCGAGGTCCACTGGGTTCATATCATGTCTTCGCAGCACGAGTCTCGTCATTCTGTCAGCATCGTGGTGTGGTGTGGTGAGAGAGAAGAGGGGACCTAAATGCAGGACTCGCTGGCAGATTGGGGATGTAGATGGTGCATATTGTAAGGAATGGATGGACAGAACATAAGCTGACTTAAACTGAACTGGGTAACACACACATGTGACAAGAAAGGGAACTGAGGAGAACTGACGGATTAAATACACTGGATAATGAGGATGATAAGAAACAGGTGAGTACATAGCTGAACTTAATCTAACTAACAATACATAGGAAGTGGAACAGAACATAATGCACACAGAAAGATAACTAAGACAGTAAAACAGGAAACGGGGATAGAAAACTCAATGGTGACAAAGCTTAACTGAAAACACTGGGTCAACAAGCCGGGCACCCTGACAGAAGATGGTTGGATGTGTACTGCTTTGTTTTAATAAATCACATTAAAAACGCACTTACACTTCCTCAGACCTGGTTTTAACCATCGGACTCCAGCAGGCTCCACCCTGGAAGGAGGAGGGGAGAGGAAAAATCATTTGTCATTAAGATTACTTCCAGTCTGAGTTATTGTCTGATTGCTGACAACTTAATGAAGACAAACAGAGAATTAGAAAATCATTCATTTTCAAATATATATTCTATTCCAACAAAATATAACAATAAAAATTAAATTGCGACTGTTGTTGGCTAGCATACAATGTTAAAAATAATAAAAATCACCTCTTTTCATTGGCTTTTAGAAAGGTTTAATTTATTTGTTTTATTTATTTTTCTTTTCTTTTTATCAGCGAGGTGTTACTACGAAATTGTGTTTTATTATATTTTTATCTGTATTTACTGTACAGCACTTTGGTCAGCCTTGGTTGTTTTTAAATGTGCTCTATAAATAAACTTGACTTGACTTGACTTGACTTGAAAATGAACAACAGCAGCATCTCTAACTATGGTAATACAAACCTAAATATGTGAAGAAGGCAGCAAACACTGATCCTTGAATATTTTATTTATATATACAAAGATTTAACAGCACGGTAGCTAACAACACTGTACTAAGGCTACGTCCACACATACACAGGTATTTTTGAAAACGGAGATTTTCCGTTTTTGTTTTAAAAAATAATCCTGTCCACACGTAAACGCAGAAATGAAGGAAAACGCTGCTAGGAACATGCCAAAGCAACAGGTGGCGATATATTCCTAACCGTGTAGAAATGTTGGCCAATCAGAAGTCTAGAAGCCTCGGTGGGAAATAGTAAACATGGATGTGGCATAAATTCAGAACCGAGTCATATGTGTGGAGGGACAGTAACTGTGTGTGTATATGTAAGCATTTAAACACTGCAGAGAGTACAATTAACAGTAACAGCATTGTAGAAATTCATTTCACCGAAACAATAACGTGGCACACAGTGTGACGTCAAAAAAGGCGCACACCTTTGACGCTGCGTTTTCTCCGTTTTTCTCGTCCACACGTAAATGCAAAAACGGAGTTTTCAAAAATATCCACCCTGGCCGGAGTTTTTAAAAATCTCTGCTTTCAGTGACCAAAAACACCGTTTACGTGTGGACGAAAGGTGCAAACGCATAGAAAAATCTGCGTTTTCAAAAATACCCAGGTACGTGTGGACGTAGCAGTGAACTGCTGTGGATGATTAGCTCTTCCCCATACCTGAGAGTCTTAAGTCTCCAGCGTGGATTCTTCAGTCCAGCCAGCAGCAGCTTTTTTCCTGAAAACCCTGGATGATTGTAGCTCAGGTCCAGCTCTTTCAAATGGGAGGGGTTGGAGCTCAGAGCTGAGGCCAGAAAAGTACAGCCATCTGCTGTGACCAAACAGCCTGACAGACTGAAAACACACAACACTCCATCTGTGAGCTATGATTTTCTGTTTGTCAGATACAATAACATCTTTCAATTTCCATCCATTCAATTTCATTTAACATTATTTATAAGAGACAATTCCCAATGGACAACAAAAGACACTTCAAGTTGTTAACAGAGTAAGGCAACACACTACAATATCAGCGAGAAAGCTGCATCCAAGACGTAGCTGTGCACATTGGCATACTCCCCCATGTTGCTTGTCTTGTGTTTTTATGGTGTTATGATGTGATGATATTTGTGCTTTTTATGTGCTGAAGTTTTTTGTCTTCTCCTCATGCCAACTACTTTGGGGATCAGTTGGAGCAGAAATTCTTTTTTTCTCCTGATCTGCCCTTTTGTGTTACACATTACACATTCCTGTCTCCCCAACGTGAAGTTTGTGTATTTTATGTATGGTCAGCAAGGTCGGTCATCTCAGTTGCAGAGGCAACTGCAACCGGCAAAGAAACCACCCATCCTTATATGTAAATATATATATATATATA